TGTGTAGCTCCACAGCAGCGTCCCCGTCCGGCCGGTAACAATTGCCAGATGATTTCAGCACCGCCTCTTCTCACAGTGGAAACAGCTGAGCAGTGCGCTCCTAGCTGCCAGGGTTAGTCTGGAATTTTCTAAGTCCCACTTACTAGAAACTAATTTTTCAGTTTCGGGCAACACTGTCATATTGATCAAACCCAACACTTGGCATGTGCTGCTTATGCTGTAATATCATGGCACAGCTACTCCTTTTCAGATGTGTATTTTTTAAATATTCAGCTCCATCCGGCTTCCCTAAAAATATGCAAAATATTATACGGAACCTGGAGAGACTTTTATTCCACCTGGCACACAGAACTCGCAAAACATCCTACAGATTTTCAAGGAAAAAGAACAGACAAAGAAGTAAAAAAACCCAGAAAAACCAAACCAAACAAAACCAAAATGAATCATTGCTCAGTTAGCATTAAAAAGAATATAAGTCTGTTTAAGACAACAGTTACTTGGGGTTTGTTTCTGTCAAAAATATATTTTAAAATTACATTTGAAATATTCCTTTTGCTTTAAAGTGGGAAAGATAAAGCTCAGCACCTAGCAAAAAATGTTTTAAAATAAACCAAATCTTGTTTGTTGTACATTCAAGTATTTTCTACAAGAAATTTATTCATGTAAAAGTCTGGAGACAAAAGAAAAGCATGTGTCACCTTTTCAACAAAAAAGGCTGCAAAATCTCAGTTTTATGTAAATAAGCAGGCATGGCTTCCAAGGCTTTAAAACCAGGGAATGCTGCAAACGTCTATAGTTCCTCAACTCAAGTGTTGCTCCTGGGCAATGCTATAATATTCATTAAAGAATCCATTTATCAACAGATACCACATGTCAGAGTTTTCCAGCACAGTTTTCCTGACACGCCACTGAAAACGATGCTTTAAAAAAATTAAAATGGAAAGCAATAATCCGAGATGCTTTTGCCTGCCGTTTCATTCCACAATAGCTATTAGCAACTAAAAAAGCGAAGATTTACACTATATCCTTTCTGATAACGTCAAGCATTATGCTTTATTTTCCAAATCATTAGCATGCACAAGAATGACCTCATGGTGAACAGATGCACTTGGATATGGCAGTGATTAGATCAGTCCTCTCAGCAGTCAAGTGTGCCCATTTCAATTAACCCTTTGAAGCACTAACTGCAAGTCTACACTGCTGAAAAGCAGGTTTGTCGGTTCTCTTGAAAGTAGAAATCTACCCTTGTAAGTATAAAACCCTCAAATATAAATCTTTCTCTGGCGGAAAAGTTATCTCTTTTCCTTTCTAGAATATCCGACTCCTTCCATTTTCTAAGGGTTAACACGATTCTGGCTTCTGATCTTAAATGGAAAAAACAAACAACAAACGCTTTTTAGTCAGCAGAGGTAATTAAAGTTGGAATGCTTTTGTATCTGTTTCTGCCTGTTTCATTTTTATGATTTTTTTAAAGAACACACAAGTATTTTGTTGAATAACTGTTTTTCTTTTTGGCTGAGGGAGCAAGAACAGAAAAAGATAGCAGCTTAAAACCCCGTCCTCTAAAATGAGAGAAATCTGCAGAGGGAAAGGATAAGAATAATTCAATAGTGTTGGATTACTGAGGATTTCCTGGGCTGACTCTCATACCGAGCCTAATTAAAATACAGCATGTAATGTACCAGTTTAACAACAAAGGACCGTATTCTCATCTTTTGTTCCTAATCTGCACATCCCCTAAATGAGTTCAGGGATGTCCATTCTGCCTACCAGGCTGCATTTTCAACGTTTAAGATATACAGGGCTGTCTATGATACATACAGGGAGTTTAAGGCTCTACTTCTGAAAACAGCAAAGGAGGTCAATTGGACGATTTTCGTGCATAAAATGTAGCACCTGCAAGACTATTTGTGATATGGGAGACTAAGCCAGGGCATACTTCAAGAAACCCACATCCCATCTGAATCTAGGGAAGCATCCCTAGAGGCAGTGTCAGAAAACATAAAAACATTTAGTTCAAATAAATAGATCATAGTTAATAATACACCAATAACGTGTGTCATTAACAGCTACATATTCGATTCATTTAATGGTCTTGATTTGCTTCTTATACTGTGTTAACTACTAAAAACAATCTTAATTTTAATAAAAAACGTACTTACTCATTGACCCTTTCTATTGTGCACATGTATACACAGCTATGACAGGATTACAATTAGGTGGTATTAAGAATAAGATCAGAGGAGAATTAATCTTAAATTTACCTGAGAAGTTTAAGCAAGGCAGGGTTAGTAGCATCAGCTGGCTTGTTACTTGACAAGGGGAAACACAGACCTGTGTCAGCTCCATACATTTATTGCTCCGTGATTCATTTTTTCTGTTTCAGAATAGAAATTCCCCTTTTACATGAAGAAAAATGCCATCCATATTTCTTAAGTGGCAGACAGCTGATTTTGCAGGCATAGGACAGGTGAATCTACGCTTGGAGGAGGTCTAACTGCCCGCGGCATGAGGGAACAGGCTGCACGCTGGAAAACGCAGAGCTGCTGCTGTTCACAGCCCGAGACCGTCCTGCTTGCCCCCGGCTGTGCCCACACCGACAGGGGAACTGGCGGCTCCAGAATAGTTTTTCATCCCTTTCTAATCATTAACAGGGATGAAGAGATGGCTGCAAACTTAGTCAAATTGCACCCGAGCTGGTTCTTTATTTATTCCCGGATGCTGCCGGTACATTTGTAGTACCCCGCCAAACTAAACCACAATAAACATGGAAACAGGCAAGGCTGAGGCAGATGCTCGTGATCCGTACGCAGCTCCGCACAAGGCTCCCTGCTCGTGGGACGGGGACTCGCCCGAGCGGCGGGGGGAGTTAGGAGGCTTACATTCAGCCTCCTTGCTGATTGCCAGGATGGCATTTGATGGAAAATACATCCTAATGGCAACGACTGACACAGCTCTTGGTAATATTCGACTAAATATGCAAGTAAGTCAGTAGGTAACGTGAGGAGACTCTCTGAAGCAAAGATTTTCATGCCAGAAGTCATGACTGGCCTCCGGTTTCTTTGTGAGCATGAAATAAATTCTGGCGTTCGGAAGTCCGAAAATCAGGACATGACTGTGGCAGGTTTTACTCTTAAAAAAAAAATAAAATAATGAAATCATAAAAGCGCATTCAGGTACTAATGATTTAACAGTGTTCTGAAAAACTTAAGTAGATATTAGGAAACATTTTAAATATTTTTGGCATACAAAATATATCACAGACTTCAGAAAGTATGACTACGGTATTATCAAATGAATCTGTCCTTGCTTGTTGAACTAAATTTATATATAGTAAGATCACTGTGTGCTGTAAGAAGAACGTGAAAACTAAATACAATTATGCATAGAGCAAAGCATTTAAAATATATCAATATATCTACATTTTTATTTGCTGATACGTCAACAGATAAATGATTCAAAGTGCTAACAACACTGGGCATGAAATCTACATTTCTATTGAAACGGATACATTTTTTTTGTCTCAGGCTTTTGGCAGAGTGTATAAAAGAATTTAATTCACAGCTGTTCTACTTTTTAATGTAGAAAACATTAATCAAAGCTTTAAGTTTTAAGCTTTTCTAATGTTGTTTAGTATTCCAGTTCAACAAAGATCAATAGAGGCCATCCCTGTGTTTCTTGACGCCTCTCCAGGAAGCAGAGGCGCGATTATGTAAATAGCACCGGTTCCCCTTTACTTCTGCCAGCTTGCTTATCTCCAAAGCCTTCTGCCTGCTGCTACTGGCGACCAATGCAAGGACATGCATATACCTCTTATCTCCTAACAAAGCTCTGAAAGCTCGAGGATTGGAGCCAGTAACGTTAAACAATGATGCACGGCTGATTTTATTTGTAAGTGATTTATTTTAGTAAATTTAATTTCTTCCTTCAATTTTTCAGTTTAGATGGAAGATACTTGCTAACAAGTCAGGCTAAAGAGAAATAGAGCAGATGTCCTGCAACGTTTATATAGGTTTGAAATAATCTATTAAACAATCCGAAAGAGTAGCAGGGGATAATAAGAAAGTGCCAGTTTCACCCTATGAGTGTAAAAAAAGGGATTAAGGAATCTTTGTTAGAGAGTCCAACACACGGTGACCATATACTTTTTGGAGGCTGGAGAAACAAATCTTGAGGGTACTAGAAATCTGCATTTCAGAGTCAAAGCTTCCTTTCAGGAGACGCTTATTTAAACTCAAATAAAACAGCAAAGTAGCAGTTCATATCTTACTGACTGCATGCTAACTTAAAATCTCGATCGGGCACATAAGGAATAAATTCACAGAGGTCAGCATTACATTTTCATCTTTCGGTAGGGCTGATGAATGATGATCAGCATTAATGTGTGTGTATATACATATACACATGCACTCACATACGTATATCTATACATATATTAAAAAAAAAACCAAACAGGTTCCAGGCCAGGTGTTGGAAGGAAGCCTGAAATTTGCTCATCTATATTTAAGGGAAATGTTAGCATACTGCACGCTGCTATGATTTTCTAACAGAACACCGTTCTTACATTTCTTTTGCATTAATCCCTGACCCTGGTATCTCAGCAGCATAATCCCCGTTTAGCATTAGTAGCAACGGCTTCTACTGTGAGGAACTATTTTTCGATAAGTAAGCACCGATTCAGGCATAGCTTTTGAACAACATATTCCCAGCTCAGCAAGAAACCCACACTCCTGAATGAACCAGAGCACATTACTGAGAGAAAGTTCATTAACCTTGCTAGATTCGGGGGTTAACAGGATAGCTGAAGAAAGGAGCAGAGTGAATAGCTCTGATGCAAAACAAATTAAAATGAATGTCATCATTCCTTTTGATATTCATTAGTTGATTCAGGGGAAGAATGGTCTTCTTAAATTTGCAAGCATTTATCTACAAAAAACAGGTGTACATCTGCTGCTCAAGTGCTTCTTAGTGCTAAAGAAGAATAACGTGCAGAGACTCACCAGTTCCACCGAGGGAGTAGCTGGGAGAGGGAGAAAAGACCTGAGCGGCAAAATCCTCAAATGTCATTACTTCTTTATGGTTCTGGATTATTGCTTCGAGATACAGAGCTCTTTCTTCATAACTGCAATGACCAGGTTAAGGAAATGTGTGTGCAGAATTAAATGCTGTTACACAACGTCCACGAACACCAGCACTTCAGATCCACAGCAACACTAACCAGGCTGTACATGGGCACGGAAAAGAGGGGACCAAAATTGCCCAGTGCTGCTTAACAGTTCTGAACGCGAGCAACGAGGAGTGAACACACTTACTGGCTTGAAATTAAGGGTAATACTTTTTAGCTTCATGAAGGAAAAGCAGTGACTCAGTAGATCCAACAGATTGCTAAAGTTACCGAGGGCAGAAACAAACCCCCCAGACTGCAGGCTTTTTAAAACTGAAACCCAACTTTAACAGACAAGCTGTGGCATTATGGAAAGTTCCTGGTACACAATTTTCCTATTACAATGACCCTGTCAGACTAGAAAAATTATTAGATTGGAGAAACAAGCTACAGGACAGAGGAGAAACCCCCCCACATACTTATTTGATCACTGTACTCCTTAAATTAAATTAACCGTAATAAACACAACTCCTGAAAGCATGAAGTTTATATTTAAGGCAGGTGCTAGAAAGTGTAATCTTATGTATCCTAAATAAACGATGCACATTGGAAAAAAACACCCCACAACTTGCATGCATTATAGTCTGCATAATGCAGACAACAAAGCAATCTAAAATCAAGACTATTGCCTTTTAATTAAAACTCGGCAACCTGGAACACACAGCATTCAAATGTGTAATCAAAAACCAGTCACCAATAAAACTTACAAGCGTAACAAGCTGAAGCAACTTTCCAGCTGTCTTAATAGGACCCCTGCTTGCGGCAGCTTTTCACAGCGGAGAAAGCAAATCTTTTCCTTTTGTGTGCAGCTTCTGTTTTCTCAGAAGGTGAATCATACACTTCCAATAACAGGATAACGTCTGAAACAAATCTACAATGGGCTGAAGAACCTCACGTATGACTTTATGAATTAACGCTCGCAGGAGCCAGTATGACATCTCATTCTCCGTTTCCTCATTTAAAACAAAAGTTTTCAGATCCTCATTGCGTTTCTGTTATGGGGAAATGCATTCTAACTCTGCAAGACTGTTACGTGGGAGCAAAGGCCAATTTAAATTTAGAAATTAGGAGCAGCGAGAATAACACCAGTGACAACGTAATGCAGGTGAGGGTATTTAAAATTGAAAAGCATTACTAATTAATATTGAAGTGCCATTTGTGACTTTCATTACATTAACAAAAACACTCTGAAACAGTATTTAAAAAAAAAAAATATCAGAGTAAAGCGGTACTTAAAAACAGGATGCGATAGTCTAGTGTTCTACCTCAAGGGGAATAAACAAAGCGCATCTTAATTGCATGCAAGTTCCTATAGGCATGGTGGTAAAAAAGAAAAAAAAAGAATTTTGCTTTTAATGCTAGCAGAGGACGATTGATATGTGATAAATCTTCTTATAAACTTCCCGTGGAAGCCTGAAGAAAGAAAATCAATACATAGCATTTCAGAGTTTGCACCTGCTGACAGCGTTATTTGCTTAGTTTTTCTCTCTCTTTTCCCTAAGCCCAGGAGAACACATTCCTGATAGCGCAAGCATTAGCCCGCCTGCGTTTGGGGCTGCCTCCCTATTATGGGCTGAACTCCTGATGACTCTTGTTAATGAATAGGCTGCCAAACTTCCTAGGAGAGGAGGCACACGCCTGGGCCCTATTCTAAAGGGACTGACGGATGCCATTCACTTCTCATTATGAAGATGCTTATTCTCCGGCGCGCTCGGCTGTTGCCAGGGCTGTGCGGAGCGCGCGGCCGGGCGAGCGGCGGCCCCGCTAACAGCG